TATTGGGGTGGGGGGAGGTGGTGCTGGGTCTTAAGACTTTCACCTGGGTTGGAGTGCAGTAGCCTCCTCACAGCTCAGGGCAACCTCAAATTCCTGGCCTCAAGCAATCCTCCTTGGTCTCCCCAAAGCGACAGGTGTAAGCCACTGTGCCAGGCCCAGAGGCCTTCTCATACAGATGTTTATATACTTTTTTTTTTTTTGGAGACAGAATCTCAAGCTGTCACCCTTGCTAGAGTGCCGTGGTGTCACAGCTCACAGCAACCTCAAACTCTTGGGCTCAAGTACGTCTCTTGCCTCAGCCTCCCAGTAGCTGGGACCACAGGCACCTGCCACAATGCCAAGGTATTTTTTTGGTTGTAGTTGTCAATGTTGTGTGGCAGGCCGCGGCCGGATTCAAACCTGCCAGCTCCTGTGTATGAGGCTGGTGCCCTAGCCATTGGCTACAGGTGCAGGTGCTGAGCCTTATATACTACTTTTAATGTCAATGTCAGACAGCAAAATACCTTTTAACAAGCTAAATTTCACCTGAGGCCTTTGCTCCAGGGTTCTTAAAGAAATCCTTCCACCTTTCCTTCCCCTTGACTTAGATTAAGACTCAAGGATGCCTATCCCCTAGTTTACCTATGACCAGAGCCTTCTGTTTCATTTATAAATTTATGATTTGCTGAATTGCTTGTCCCTACTTATCAACTGGAACAAAATGTTTGCTGACCATCCAACCTTTTTCTCTGCTGCACACTGGAAGAGTTGTGATAGGCCACAGATTAAATACACAAACACTAACAAAAGCTGATTAGCAAAAACAAAGGTTCCTGTACACTATTCGTGTAATCTGCCACCACAGATAAGCAAAAAAAGTCCTCACAAAATCAACAGGTGGCCCATGGGCCACAGGTTGGACACACCTGCAAAGTTTCTCTCCTTCCCACAACTCCCCACCTTTGGCCAACTCTTGGCTACAGGTGGTGACCAACCAGCCCCTCCAGAGAACAGGCTGGAGGGTAAAACACTCTCTGATCTACTATCAGATTAGACACCCTTACATCCCACATCCTCACATCTATTCTTTCTAGCATAGTTTACTCCCTTCAAAGGCTTGTAGATCTTTTGGTCAGTGTTCCCCACTGCAAAATCCTTTAAAGCCCAGAATAAGGTCCTTACGAAGGCCAGATTCATTTTTAATCTGACACTTTAGAAAAAATTCTGAATTTCAAACCTTCTCCTTAGGATTGCCATCACTTTACTTTAGTGCCTTATCACAGTATTATAGACTTAAACAGACAAAGGTGAGGCACAAAATACAAAGTCTTTGAGTCAAAGTGAGGACAGCTACCCAGAACTCAGACCCAAGTAACTTTAGCTATGAGATGCCACAGGCTTTTGTTACAAGCAGGCTTTGAAGGCAAAAAAGGGAGACAAGGAGTGGACTAATATAAAATTCTCTCTCAAGATTTCTTTTTGGTTTACAGATGTAACACTGATTAGTGATTGGCTACCCATACTGTTAGAGTCAGATGCTGCATTTGTTAGGTTAATTTACAGCTAATTGTGACAACAGCCAGCAGTTTCAAGAGATGAATACATATAGCTTCAGGGGAGTTGAGGAGGAAGTAGCTGATTGCTGTCTCATTTTAATTTCTCTCTGGGAAAGGTTCTTTCCTCAACATATTTTGTGATTCTAAGACTAACATTTAGTATTTTCACAGAAGTAACAGGAGTCAAGAGAACGAAATAAATGCAGAATAGATTAGATCCATTCTACTACTTTGGATAGGAAAAATATTTGCTTGCCATAATTCTGCCAGCTCCAGCAATTATTCAGCTTTACACCTGGGTTTTAAATAAGCTCTAAATGTATCTCTTGCTACCCATTCTGAAACTATAAAGTAAGTAGGTTAGACAAACTGAGGAAGATGGAGCAACTCATACAAGGACATGATGCCTGCAAGACTCCCATAACAAGGCAAGGTCTAAGAGTGTCCAACCTGCAGCCCACAGACTCCATGAGGATTTGGGGAGGATGTTTTTTGCTTATCCATGGTGGCAGATATCATAAAAAGTATGCCCAGACCGTTTTTCGATTAATCAGCTTTCATTAGGGTTTGTGTATTTAATGTGTGGCTCAGACAACTCTTTTATGCTTTCAATGTGTGGCAGAGAAAGAAAAAGATTGTACACCCTGGCAGGACATTATCACAGACTTTGTACAGGTGTCTTAAGTAGAACAGCATCGTTTTAAAAGAATGCAAAAAAAGCAAAGTAGCCAAGAGCCACTAACAAAACAGTAACAGAGGGAGTGGCGGATTAATCGGGTACTCTCTATTCCCAATGTGTCAACGTACGTTTCAATAGGTTGATTTCCCTTAAATACACCTTTTTTACTTTGTTACTAGTCTCCTAATTAGCTGGAAAAATAGTCTAAGAGCAATTTAACCAAATAAGAATTTTACTTAATTTTTTTTGTCAACTCATAGGTCTTTCTTTTATGAAAAACATGAAAAAATGTTTTCATGAAACATTCCATGAAAAATAGGGTTTTGATAAATAGGGTTTTACAATTTTGATAATTTTGATAATAGGGTTTTACAATTTACTAGACATTTACCTGCATTATCTTTTTTTTTTTTTTTTTTTCAGAGACCGGGTCTTTGGGGCCCTGGGTAGAGTGCCATGAGATCACAGCTCACAGCAACCTCTAACTCCTGGGCTCAAGCGAGTCTCCTGCCTCAGCCTCCTAAGTAGCTGGGACCACAGGCATCTGCCACAATGCCTGGCTATTTTTTGATTGCAGCTGTCATTGTTGTTTTGGCAGGCCCAGGCTGGATTCGAACCTGCCACCTTAGGTGTATGTGGCTGGCGCCTTAGCCACTTGAGCCACAGGCGCCAAGCCTGTATTATCTCTTAAAATAATTTCTTCTTACTACCCCAAATCAGCAGTCTTAGTTATGGACAAACACACCTACAGAAGTCAGGTATTTTGTAATTGTAAATTTTTTGCACCCATTATCTTCAAATATTACCTGCCTATATCATGTGAATAGGCATTACCTGCAAGGCCCACGATGACAGTCTCAGTCCCCAAGACCTAGGCCCAATAACAATGGTAAAGAGAATTTAAAACAAAAATACAGTTACCATTTAAAAGATTTGGTTAAAGTGCCAGTAGTTAGTAAGTGCCAGGTACAGGGCTAAGGGTAACTTTATCTCACCAATCTTCATAACAACCCTAAGAAACATACCATTCCCACTTACAGATATAGAAACTGAAGCTTACAACTAGCTAGTACAGTGCCTGACATTAATGAAGCATGTGCTGAATAAATTTTTGAAAAAACATCCTACTTTCATTTAAAGGAAAAATTCCTCTTACTTAGTTCCTAATAGTTTACTCTAGGCTCACCTAACGCGCTCCCTCACATTTTTAAATGCTCTGTCCTGGGTACTTTCAAGCCACTCTTCGAACCATTTAACAAACTTTGTGGTTTCCAAACGCCATTTGCAATTTGCCCCTATGTCAAAGGGCGTTTTCAACACTGAGAAAGTATTTCCAGACCAAGCTCTCTTCATTCTACCTTATTCTTTTTGTGGCTGAAACTGCCAAACCATACTTAAGAACACCACGGATAGTAAGTAATTGTGAAAATTAACTCTAACCATTCAGTTGAAAAACTCTCCCCCTTTGGCTAGGTATGGTGGCTCATGCCTATAATTCGAGCACTCTGGGAGCTGAGGCAGGTAGATTTCTTAAGCTCATGAGTTTGAGACCAGCCTGAGCAAAACTGAGACCCTGTTTCTACTAAAAAAATAAAAATAAAAATAAAAAACTGAGGCAAGAATTTCGCTTGAGCCGGAGTTGGAGGTTGCTGTGAGCTAAGACACCAGGGCAATCTCTACCCTGGGTGACATCTTGAGACTTTGTCTCAAAATAAAACAAAACAAAACCTTCCCCTTTCTACAAAATAAACTCCGGATTCTAGTAAGGTTCCAAGCACTGCATATTCCAGGCCACACAACACTACCTACAAAGCTCTTACACTTGATGCCTTTATTGTCCTCCCTTCTTGTCCTCCCTTTCTGTGCCAGGTGATGCTAGCTTAGCTGTCTTTCAAGACCCCATCAATGTCATCACCTATCTGGTAAAGCTTTACCCAAATATGCGTACTATTGTTAAAGGTCCTTATTGCTCTGTATATGCACAACCTTTTCATAGCGCATTGAAACTTTTTCTCTATCTCTCGGCTATTGGAAGATAAGAGCTATATTGTGTTATTTCTACATCACCAATCTAAAATAATAACTTCAAAGGCTTCCCTTTTTCTATCACTCATCGCTTGCTTTTATTGGTTAGTCTCTTCCATTACGTATAAAACTCTGTGAAGGAAAGGAATCCTGGGTCTTGTTTCCAGTTAGGGCTTCTCTACCACCATACTGGTACTTAGTCGACACTTAGTCTTTTGAATGAACATGTGTTCAGAAACTGCCAGAATCTCACACCAAGAAGGCTGAATCTCTTCAAATCTGTATGACTAGGTCCCCAGGACCTTACAATCATTTCCACCCCAACTCTGTGGTGGTTACGGGCATTACTGCCCTTCTATCAAAACCATCCAATCCACCAGACACATCCAACGAGCCTTCACTGCGTTCACGGAGGCTCAGGAGGGATATAATATATAACTCAGCTTCCGTTCTCAACCAAAAGACTAGGACGGAGAGGATCCTGATTTAAAAAATTAAAAACATAAATAGGGAGCTGTAAGAGGCATACAGGGTGGCTTTGAGGCTCTGGGCCTCCCGAAGAGAGGCGACAACCCGCCCAGGGGTGCGTTAAACTTTGACCCAGGGGGCCGCGGCTCAGCTGGGGTTGCGGTGAGGGAGGCCCAGGCCAGGAGCTGGAAACCTCCTTCGAGTGTACGGGCCTCGTTTCCACCTCTCCTCGGGGACCTCCCCACCAAGGGGCCCGTCTCCATGCCCCTGCCCCTCCCCGGGTCCCGTTCCACCTTAGCTTGAGCGGTCCTCCGCCAGGTTCGAGCAGGACGCCAGCGCCCACCAGGCCAGCGCGGTTCCCCGCCTCCCGGTTAGTCCTCGTGCTACCACTGAGAGGACGGCGAGCGCCGGCTAGAGAGGCTCAGCGCCACCACAGAGAGAAGTCCGGGAGAGGCCTAGAGCGGAACAGAGCCTGGCCGCCCCCGGAGGCGGAAAGGGCAGGGGCGACAATTGGCAAACGACTCACGCCCCGCAGTAGTGGCTTCAGGCGATGTCTTGCCTTTGCGTTCCCCGAGGAGGGGGAAATTGGCACGTCCCTGGGGGCCATCTCTTACAAGACACACATTCCACTGGTTTGGCTTGTATTTGCAAATCTCTACACCTGTGTGTGATAGTAAACTTTTGCACCCAAATACCCCTAAACAGACAATAGGATGTAAGAGAAAGAACTGTTTCTTTCCTCAAAAAATTTACAAGCATTTTCGTGGTGATCCTTTTAACTCACTGCGAGCGAGTTAAGAGGATCTCAGCAAGGGACCCTTTGTTTAAGATCTCACATTTTCTTTCTTTCATTTAATTGAAATATATTCCATTTCTTATTATAATCTGTACAAATAGCTTTTAGTGAGAGTAAAAATGTAGGTTCCACGAAAATGCTGGTAAATTTTGGGGGGAAAGAAACAGTTCTTTTTCTTATATCCTGTTGTCTGTTTACAACGTAAGGGTTCCTTTTCTTTTAAAGTGAATTTTATTTGTCTGTAGTCATTGAGAGCTCCCAGTCTCTCAGACTGAAAAATATATGGGACAGACAAATAAAATAAGGCCCGCTAAGGCCCAGGCTTGCTGGCAATTCCCCACACCTGCGGTAAATTGCCTTCGGCAGTGACCCTGTGTTCCTCCCCTCACTCTCATACTGCTCCCAGAAGGGCAGGCTTTGGGTGCTATGTCCCACCAATCTTAGAACTAGAAAATGGGAGAAAGGCAAAAACAAAGCATAATCCCCCCAACTGTGTCTGCAGGAGGCTGGATTCCATAATTTTACTGTCTACTAGTGGTTAGCACTTTAAGTAATAGACAAAAAGAATAAACTATTCCTTCTCCCAAGGAGTTCACAGACTAGGGATAGAAAGGAGCAAACAGTTAATCACAGTGTGATGTGATAAATGTTACTGAGAGAGGATCCTGAGCAGGTTGAGGTCTAGGAGAATGGGTCTTCTCAAGAGACCACAGGATACATCTGTAGGGTCCTCTCCCTGGTGACTCAGCTCTTGGGAATTTGTAAACTTAACTTCCTGGAAATTGGAAATTTCCAAGTTCTGTGAAATCCTGTAGTTCTGTAGGGGCTGGAGTAGCATCTCCCACTTGATTCAAACTGGCCAAGGAGAAGGGTACCTGTGGGGTGGAACTTTTTGACCGTTAATAAAACGGGAAAGAGGGTGTGTGGGGGGGTGGGGGGGGAAATGGCCATTTGGAATTCTTCTATGCCTTGGCTCCAAGTGGGTAAAAAAAGCCCTTCCTCTTATAAACATGGTGTTTGGGTGCTGTTTCTCTCCATTAGGCTTTGTCTTCCTGCAACATTACAACAGAAACATTGTGGAAAAGAACAGTATACAATAGGAGGGGCTAAAGCAGGTTCATTCTCAGAGATTACTGCTTGAATTGCACTGGCATATGAGGAAGTAACTCTATGCAATGATGGCCTCCAACTAAACAACTAGGGGAACTATCCTAGAGGTGATGAAATAGAAAGTGCACAGGCCAAGTTAAGATTCTTAATCATAGAGCATATTGATTCAATTTAAATTTCCAGTGAAAAGCAAGGGGAAAGAGTTGTAGCAAGTTGACACACTTACATACAGTGTAAGCTAAAGGAAGGAAACCACTACCTGAATCGTGGGGTGAGCTATGCTCATCTGGCCTATCGGCCACAGGAACCTTTGCCACTGATGATATGCTTATGAAGATCAGAGATGAGGGTGCCACAAGGAGACCACAGGTGGAAAGTGCTGTGGGGAAATGGCACACACCTGCTCTATTAGTTTGGTACAGGAAAGTATGCCTGGCCACAAGCAGAGCTTACTAGTTAAGCTGCTGAACAGACAGGTTTTATTTGCATTTCTTAGGTAGAGCATGTATGAGAATATCTTAGGTATCATCAATGGGTGGCTGATTTAGGGACAAGATGTCACGATTGTTCATAACTTAGTTTTCCATTTCTTTTTGACTGTAATTGACCCTCTGTTCTATTTTCTGTTCATTTTCATTTTGACATCCCTTATAGTTTACTAACTTACTATGTGTATTTAGCATAATTCTGCCTATGTTTCACCAAGTACATGCTTACTCATGTTCTATATTTAAACATCCTAGAAGTCTTGCATTTATCTTATAAGCTACTAGCTTACTCACTGTCTACAATTAACACTTGTTATGACTTTCATCTATCCCTAAGGAAACTGCAAAGGAATTCCATATTGCTGGAGAGTCACGTAGAGGACAAATAATGCTCTTTTTATCCTGTATCAGAGATATTGGATGTTACCCTGATGAAAACTGTAGAGAATGGGGGAGAGGAGTATAGAGAATGGGGAGAGGTCCAGACCTAGGTAAGTGGAAGGTAAGTCCAGGTGGAAACACTAGCCCAAATGCAGATAATTAATGTGAGGGGCTTAATCAACTAAAGCAGTGACTCTGTGGGGTCAGATGAGATTCCCTCATGCCACCCTTCTCTGTAGACCAGCAGTTCTCAACCTGTGGGTCATGACCCATAGGAACTATATTAAAGGGTCAGGGCATTAGGAAGGTTGAGAACCACTGGGTTAGGGGGACTAGAGATAAGAACTGAAGTGTTGGAGAGCTAAGTTTGAGACATCCCCATGAAGAAGCACAGTTGGCAGTTGGAAGGAAGAGCTAGCAGAGGAGAGGAATCTGAGCTGGAAGATTAGAGTTTTGGAAAGCTTTAGTCTGTGAGTGGTAATTCTCCCTTTGGGGGCAGGGTGGGGGAGATGAGTTACCCAGGGAATTCTATAGGTGATAGGAGGATGAATGGGGTTGAATAGTAATCCTAATTTCTGGGCTCTCATTCCCTTTCACTGAATCTCTGTCCCCTCAAGCCAGTTTACCAGATCAGAATCTCTGTAGGTAAGGTAAGAATCTGTACTCTTGGCAAGCAACGAGAGAAATTTGCTATACACTAAGATGTGAGAATAATAGATTTAGGTCTCAGAGGAGAAGTCTGAGAAGGAACAAGCAGTGGGGAAGCAGAAAAACCAAGGAAGAGCACAAACCGAGAAAGGAGAGCTTAAAGCAGGGCTCTATAAGTAAGAGGAGGTTAATATGGAGTAGTTCTAGCCATTAGAAGTATAATGTGTCACATACGTCATTGTAAATTTTCTAATAACTATATTAATGAAGCAGGTGAAATTAATTTTAGAAATATATTCTGTTTAACCTGGTATATCTAAAAAATTGTTTTAATATGTAATTAACATAAGAATTAATGAAGCATGTCACGTCCTTATTTTCATATTAAGTCTTGGACGTCTGGTATGTGTTCTTTACCTCTAGTATCTCTTAATTTGGGCTGGCCACATTTCAAGTAGTGGTGACCCTGCTGGATAGCACGATTCTATAAAGTCTAGTAAAAAAGGAACTAAAATGAAAATAAAAAGAAATAAATATATTCCTTCGCTATACTAATAAGGTGGTTATAGGTAATGTCATAAGGCCTGTTTCAGTGAAGTGGTGAGGATTGAAGCCAAAAGATACTTAAAGAGTGGGAAGTTGGAGATGATAACAGCTACAAGGGAACGTTTTTGAAGGGTTCTACTGTGTTATGAGGAGCCTTTTTGGGTACTTTTGAGTATGAGTTTTAGGATCAGATAATATAGTCCAGTTTTTTTACTTTGGTTTTAACAATTACATTTGAATTTCTGCTTCTGCAGAATAGCCCTGCCACTAGAAACAACTAGAAAAATTGGGCATAATATATGAAATAATTGTTTTCAGACATTGGGCAATAGGCAACGCAGGACTGTGATCTCCGAGAAAAGGGAAACAAGTGAATAAAGTTCTGCAAGGGTCCCAGCTTACTCCCTGTCTAGGATGTGGAGCAGGGAGGGGAACCAAAGCAGAAACCAGTGCTTTCACTAAATGGAGGAGACATGGGTGGGAATTCAGGGAGGCTGGTGGGCAGAGTACCAGAGAGGAAGACATGGCACAGAGAGTCCTGTACATGTGCAGAAGTGTTTCCTTGCACCTTGGGCTGAGGACTTATCTGTGCAATGGAAAGCTGAAGATTCATAAGGGGAAGAGGTCTGGGAAGAGTTTGTGTTCTCATCAGCTACAGTAGGTAGACCTGGTAAGTCTCTGTCAATTAAAATAGCAATCGGATCCTGGCCAGGTCTGTCTGTCTCTCTTTTTCTCTCTCTTCCTGTCTCCGTGTGGGCTCTCTGCTCAGGCTGGTGAATCTTCTGCACAGCATAGCATCCACAGGGCAGTTGGATTTCCCAAACACGATGGTTCAAGGTTCCCAGTGCTTTAGTTCCAGCAAGCAAGATGACAACCTCTTTGCCTTTTATGACGAGCCCCTGGAGTTGTATAATGTCACTTCTGCGGCATTTTATTGGTTATGTGGGAGTCATTATACTTGGTCCAGATTCAAAGAGAAGGAACACAGCCTCCACCTCTTGATGGGAGAAAACACCAAAAAACGTGTATGTTTTTAAAAGGCTATAATGCCTATATTACCATATACAATAGTGCAGTGTAAAATCAAATCTAAAAACAATAATTTTGATATAGTAAAACTATACACGATACTTTGAGATATCTTTAACAACTCTAATATACAAAAAAATCTGATTTCTATGGGTGATAGAAATCACCCATAGGTGATTATAGGCTTTGTAGATGAAGTTATTAGTACTGCAGAAGTACTAGTAAGCACTTTAATAACACTATAAGTTATTGTCTTCTATTTTTAAGTAAATGAAATGCTAAATTTTAGTTAGAAATTAGGACAAATAAAGAGATAACTAACTAGGGATATATCAGAAGAGCAGCGAAGAAGTTGGAGGCCCTGAAC